GGGGGGAGAGGTAGATACGCTTAAGGGCAGAGATAGGGTCCAGAGTGACTTAGACAAATTGGAGGATTGGGCCACAAGAAATCTGATGAGGTTCAACAAGGACAAGTGTAGAGTCCTGCACTTGGGACGGAAGAATCCCAAGCATAGTTACAAACTGGGGATCAACCGGTTAAGTAGTAGTTCTTCAGAAAAGGACCTGGGGGTTACAGTGGATGAGAAGCTAGATATGAGTCAACAGTGTGCCCTTGCAGCCAAGCAGGCTAATGGCATATTAGGTTGCATTAAGAGGAGCATTGCCAGCAGATCCAGAGATGTCATCATTCCCCTTTATTCGGCTTTGGTGAGGCCGCATCTGGAGTATTGTGTCCAGTTCTGGGCCCCCCACTACAAAAAGGTTGTGGACGCATTGGAGAGGATCCAGCGGGGGCATATGACCTACGAGGAGCGGCTGAGGGACTTGGGTCTGTTTAGTCTGCCGAAGCGAAGAGTAAGGGGGTACTTGATAGCAGCCTTCAACTTCCTGAAGGGAGGTTCCAAAGAGGATGGAGAAAGGCTGTTCTCAGTAGTGACAGATGGCAGAACAAGGAGCAATGGTCTCAAGTTGTGGTGGGAGAGGTCCAGGTTGGATATTAGGAAAAACTATTTCACTAGGAGGGTGGTGAAGCACTGGAATGGGTTACCTAGGGAAGTAGTGGAGTCTCCATCCCTAGAGGTGTTTCAGTCTCGGCTTGACAAAGCCCTGGCCGGGTTGATTTAGTTGGAATTGGTCCTGCCTAGAGCAGGGGGCTGGACTTGATGGCTCCTGAGGTCTCTTCCAGCTCTATGATTCTAGGATTCTATGAAGGGTTTCCCCTCGAGAAAGTGACTTGCCTATGATGAAAAGTTGCACTGAATTTTGGCATCTGATTCTGTTCCCCTACTCAGCCTTCCCATCACACTGCTTAGATCCTTCAAGCCTCCCTGTTCCAGGGACGATTCCTAGCCAGACTTCTTTCCTTGAAATCTTTTCCCTCTAGGAATCAAGGGAAATCCACATTAAAAGAAAGTTGCCTCTTTTCTCCTTCAGTTGCTGCTGGAAATCCTGAGAATGCACATGCAGGATGGACCTCCCTAGGCTGGCACCCTCAGGACCTGACTAGCTCTGAAGTTGGGAATTTGACACATCCAGGAGTAGGGTTCTATGTAAGGTCTGTGCCTGTGCACCCACTCAGCAGATCTGCACATGAGCAGTGGGGAAGCCACCATGCAGCTGTGGCCCCGGCTCCAGTCCCAGCACATGAGGCACTTGCCCCGTCCCAAGGAGCAGCTGGGTCACAGCTGCTGGGGCTGAGACTGCAGTACTACAAATAGCACTGCAGCCAGGCTTGTGTCCCAGCATACCTGCACCCCTCAACCCTTTTAGCTCCCTGGTTCAGTAGCTCAGCTGCGTGGTGGGCGGCTGTCCTAGGACTCAAGCTGGGTCATGGGGCAGCTGCTCCTGGGCCGGGGCCAGGGTACTAAAAATAGCACCGCAGCCCTGGTTCCAGGGCTGCTGGCAGCCT